ATGTTTTTGTTTTCAATTATCTTGCAATTAAATATGCCAAAAAATTGCAATTCCAGGATTTTTTCCTGATAGAAAAGAATCCACCCTGTATAGTAACTGAACTAAGGAATAAATAAAATGTATATATTCACTCCATGTAACATTATATCAAGCTAATCATCGGCATAATGAAAACTCTCAAACTGAAAGTCCTCCTATAGTCCAGGGGGAGGAATGTGTGCTCTGATGCACATGACAGCACAAGAGGGCAGAACAACCCAAACTTCCTTTCCAAGAACTCCCCGGACCATCTTGCTAGTTGTCTATATGCAATGTGTCTGTACTGCTTGTGCTCTGGGCGTTCATACGCATCTCTGTACTACTGTTTGTACTGAGCCCATGCTGTGCGAAGAACATACTTATTGCCACAAACAGGTAAGAATCCAGGATGTTGAGTAATGCATGGTGGTGGTTCATCAGCATCTCYATCTTCAACAACAGACTGGCATGTTGCATCTACTTTTTTGGATTTCTTGGCAGCAAATGCGTTCAGCTATTGTATCCATAATTTGGCAGCTACCACAGGTACACCTATTAACAAATAAAACAGTCCTTAGTATTTTTGAACAAGTGAGAGTATATATACAAATTGTGACACATTTACATCCCTGCATCTGTATCCTACAGTATATAACTTGTTGACAACCAAGCGATGTTTAATTGTGACAGTTGGTTTTGCTTTYGGTTGCAAAGGTCGTGAGGCAGATTCAAATGCATATGTATAAAGTGCAAGAAGACAAGTGGTAAACACGATTCTATAAAATGGATATGTTGTTGAGTTTTATTGTGATGAGACAGAAGTAAAACTTACCAATCTGAATTTGTAAGTCGATTGTTCTCTTGTTCATCGTCTTCAATAACGTCACTGTCAGATCCTTCTCTGAACTGTGAGATCTCTATTTCTGTTTCGAACTGATATGGCCGTAAAACAAACTCGTTGTCCATTTTTAAAAATTCTTGAGCAAAACCGTCTCTCGAGCTGTCCGAGTCTTTGGAAAAAGAATTAGACTCCGACATGCCTTTAATTGAATGACCAGGTCGTATTTTTTCCCGTAAAATTATTGAGTAAAACGTCTCAGAAACAAGGAAAGAAGTCAACTAAACGCTTGTAAACAACTTGACGCCGTAGACTCTTATAACGTTGTGACGTCATTACCCTATTTTTCTGAGCCCGCGATAAAAGTGCAAGATGGCGGCCACCAGAGCGTTATATGCGATGTTTTGAAATTATTATTTTAGGAACACGGATGCTCTATCCCCTCTAAAAATTGAATTTTTGTGTTTCTCAATTGGTGTACTTTCTCTTGGGGGTTATTTTGTGGGGTAAGTTGTCCTTTAAGCAAAGGTTTGAGGGAAATTTTCAGTTAAAACATTGCCGTTTTGATAATTTTGAAAATTAAATAATTGCCATTCATTCGCCATAACTTAACTTGTCAGGAAAATTTGATTTTCACCTCTACATTGCGTTGGATAATTTTTCCGTGTGCACCTACTCGGATTCCTTCCAGATTCTACCTACTGAACCTTCGAAGGATGACCTTAAAATATATGCACAAATATATTTGGGTTTTTGACTTTGTGATATTTGTGGTGCAGTGCTGCATTTGAGGAATGTTGCCGAACTGTTATTTCTTACTGCATAGCGGCATGCTGCTTTCTCATAAAGCGTGTCCTTTTCTAGTGCTCTTTGATGTTTTCCCAGACCTAAATGAAGTTGAAATGACGATAATCGTTAATAAGTCTTAACACATCTTTCTTCGGGACATGAAAAAGAAGACCAGTTGCATAACCACGTCTGAACAGGCGGCGGGCATCATTTGGATTTCATCCGTCTTGGTCTTTAACTTCGCTGAAATGAAATTCCCGCCAACCTGAACATTGATGTCAGTGCATTTGGAGGTTTTCACAAGCCCTGGAACTCTGACAGTTAGATACGAGACTATATATTATTCTGTTATTCTCTTCCCAGCACCAAACCCGTACGCTTTCCAGACTCTCAGATGTTTGTGATCAATGTATCCTATGTTAAAAAACAAACCCACGCTTTCCATTTTCACTGACAATGTGGAATTGTGAGTTGCTACTCGATCTGGCAAAGTAATGCTTAGTCGAGGTATACCACCAGATCATTGTATGGCCTCAACAATTTCCTTGGCTGTGGTTTCCGAGGTTATGACCCTCATTCAGATGAACTCTCATGTGCGATTTTATGGACTCAGCCTTTCGATCACATGCATGGGCCTTTTCCCCCCTGTGGATCTAAAAAGTCCATGCGCTTAATAGAAACCCCATGGTACTGACGTTTAAAGGAAACTCCAACAGTTGTTGGGCCGGAATGATAGCAGCCGGCGTTATCTTGCCTGTAATACACTTTTTGTAGCTTTGGCATCAATTTCCTAACTGGCCATTACATCTTTCATTACTGCAAGAACGGCAAAACTGTCTTGAGTGCATGTTGCGAAAACGTGAATAAAAGCCATCGTTTGGTGCTCTTGGTCTGCGGTCTTTTGAATAGCCACTGTTGCATGCCAGGGAATTCCCCTTTTAGCAAACCAATCGCTTTGGCTCTTTATATTTGCGCGGCAAAAACTTCGTTGCTCAGTCCTATACAAGATACGCGGATTTTTCATCAAGGCTATCAAGCATATATGTTCGTGCGTCGTCCTGGTTAATACAGCGTAGAAGATGACCTTTCCATGCGAAAATATTCTTCTTAGCTTGTGATGTAACCAAGGACAGTTCTTCTTTGACGACAGGAGCAACGCTTTGGGAGGACATTTCTTGGACTGCATTTTCTACTTCATTTAGGAATGTTGTAAGTTAAGCGATCGCATGTATGTATGAAGATGTTTGTGGGCACAAATGGACTTATAATCTTTGTACTTTGGGTCGCTCAAGGCATACGTTCGACAGTGGTCTGGAACTGTTAATTGCTTTGATACCACATTACAAGATCGTCAAACGCCTTACCTCCTTCTCCGCTAATATAATCTAGCCCATGTAAGGCCTTTTTGTACTGAGGCTGGACGGTTGGACATAACCCTTAATAGCGTTCTATGGCTCATTGGAGTGAAGTCATTTTCTTCTGAATATACTAAATACTGCTTCACAATTGATTCAGGTATCATCATTCAAATTATGTTGAGTACTGTTATCACCTCCTTCGTAGATAATTTGACTGGTCTTTCCCCTAATGGTAGATCCTGAATATAATATGTAGACTAGTAATGAAGTCCAAAAAATGATCCAACGCGGTTTTGCAGACAGCCATTCTCGTACAAGAGGATTGCAGTGGTCGTACGCCCATACCATGTACTAGAGTGTGCCTTCTAGCTCTGCTAAATCGAGATCGCTTAAGGTCTGGAATCCAGCTCTTCAGTGTTAGAAACATCTCTTTGTCGACCATGATAGATAGGATCTGTCGTCTAGTTTCCTAGCCGCTGGCTTTGTAATAACATTTGGCTACAGCTTCCATAAAAACGTTATCCACAGGTTCATCATTGTCATCTTCGTCCCTGTATAACTCTTGTTTTAACGATTTTGACTGAATTAAGGAACGCCACAATTGCAACGGACCAGAATGATTTGGTGCCACTTCGTCTAATACTGCAGCAATTACTTGACTTGATTCCTGACTAGCCTCATCCCGTGGCGTTTAAAATTGAATCTAACTGGACTAATGTCTCTGCTCTGTAAAATACATTAATTTTTTGAAGTGGGCCGTTATGGTTTGTCTCGTTAGGTGAAAAAATAATTCCCGTCGCTGTCTCGAATTCATCATCAGTATGATGATACATAGCAGTTTTGCTATGAGCAGCAGGAAGAGTAGAGGTAGAACTCGTTTCGTGTTGTAAATAGATTATACAATTTATCATTGCAACCACAGTTCGGCAGCGTTCCTCAAATGCAGCACTTTACAAAAACCACAAATATCAAAAAGTCGAAAACCGAAATAAATTTGCACATATGTTCTTAGGTCATACTACATAGGTTTAGTAGGTAGAATTTGGAAGGAATCCAAGTAGGTGCACATGGAAAAATTATCCAATGCAATGTAGAGGTGAAATGCAAATTATTGTGATAAGTCAAGTTATGACGAGTGAATGGCAATTATTTCATTTTCAAAATTATCAAAATGGCAATATTTCACCTTAACATTTCTCAAGCCTTTGCTTAATCAATACGCAGTGACAGAGTTTCTCTGCATAGATCTGTTTCTGCACAGGAGAGACGTTTTCAGGCCATATATTTTACCCTCAATTTCCTCTGATTTGAAGACGGTTAGAATCGATTTTCTCGATTTTCCTCCACAAGAAAGTATGTTTCAAAAAAAACAAGCCCTGCCACGTTTAAAAGTGAGGTTTTCCCCTCCTTTGGACCAAATATGACCATAATCGATTGTTTTGCCTGGCTAATGGTTGATCAACTTTTACAGACATTCGCTCTTAAAATTACTCTGCTATACAATTTTTTCTATCGCTTACTCCCCTTAAATAAATAAGGATGATTTTTAATTTTTCCTTTATTTTAATTTTATTATTTTTAGTATAATCATTTTGAGAAAAAAATCGATTTGCTTTCATTTTATACTATTTTCAAATCATTGATTTCCTCAGTTTTATTTTAAACCTATTTTTAATTGCTTTTATATCATCATAATGTCCAAACGAATCGAACAACTTAAAGAATTGACGGCAAGGGTCTAAAAATCAAATTCGCTCTCCTTTTGAGATTACATTGGCCATTATTAGATATGAATCCCTTGGTAGTTAGTTTTGTAAAACTTTATTTTATTTTCGAGAAAACTGCTAGAGCAGAGGTTCGACCGGAGTCTAAGCAGGAGAAGTTAAAGAGGACTAAACTAAGATCATAAATATATAAAGAACGTTTGTATCGTACTTTTTATCGTAATTTTACAGAAATCACATTTCTAAACGTAAAGTGGAAAGTACTCACGACACCAGCATCTTCATAATCGTGATTACACCACGAGGGAACGTTTCCCCATCCATTATGAGCACAGCTTCCAAGTGAGGCCTCTGAGCCTGAACATCCCATGTTGTTCAACAATGCTTTACCAGTTCCTTGTCCATCATACGAATAACCAACAGTTTTGGTAAAACCAAGTTGACGGCAAACAACCTTGGCATCGGGCATATCCCAGCCACCATGACAAACTGTTCCCCATTGACCCTGGTGATACACCTCCACGAGACCCGCTACAGCATTTTGTATTTTTGTACCAGGTTCAAATCGTATGTCGCTGGCAGAAGATCCTGAAGTGTACAAATTGGAAATGATATAAGAGAAATAAATTTAAATTTATAATCAAACGCTGTTTTCTATGTTTTGTTTATATGAAAAAAGTGTTTTCTATTGTGAAATGTTTGAATATTAATTTTAAATCGTTGTAAAGTTTTAAAGTTTAATAAAAAGCATATACTTATTACTATAAGAATTCTATAATAATACTTAAAAACTTAACTTACCCGTGTAGCCAGCACACACGACACCAACATCCCACGTGTGACTGTTGCACCCAGAGTGAACGCTCCCCCACCCATTATGCGAACAGCGACTAAGTGAGGCTTCTGAGCCTTTGCATTGCATGTCATACAGCCAAACTTTACCCGTCCCTCGTCCATTCGACCAATATCCCACAGCTTTGGTAAAACCAAGTTGGCAACATGCAACCTTCGCATCATTCATATCGAAGTAACCATAACACACTGTTCCCCATTGCCCACTGTGGTAGACTTGTATAATGCCGCCGACGCCGTGGAATGGTGTATTTGCTACAGAGAGCGTATCATGCGCAAGTCGGATAGGAGCTGTTGCATCTATTTAAAAAAATATAATATAAACGAGATCAAGTTTAGTAATGTGTTTCTATGACTTTAAAGTTCCGTGAGAATATATTTCGAGATTACCATGTTATCATCGTTATGCCATTATTATTGTATGATATTTTGAAAAATAGATCATAGTTCAAGATTGATATTACTGTTTAATTAAATTATTACAGATGAGGTTTTCTTGTATTTTGTTGTAGGGTGATTCTGTAAGGTCACTGTTACATTTTTGCTCGGTGTTTTACTTTAATGCATTGGTTATGTAACTCGAGAACATATTAAATGTAGTTATATCATATTAAACTAGAATACCATAAATTTTGTTCTTGCAAACTATGTTTTTGGTGTTTTGAATTTCGTTGCATTTTTTCCTGAAGAAACGACTAGTTCAATTTTTTCAAACTCAAAGTTATTTAAATACATTACTTATCTTTAGAAATCTTAGGATTTCGCACTGCAAACATTTTCAAGCAATATAAAATATCATTAAACATAACTACTTATTTTGAGATAGTTGACTATTTTTAAACCATAAACTATGTTTGGGAATTGCCCTTTAGCTAGTTTTACGAATTGTTAAGTTTTATATCAGTTGAATCACAAGGATCAGTTTTGGTTTGTTACTATCTTCCTATTTTTAGATAATTTCTAAAAATTAAGACACATGTTTTACTGGCTTTAAGATCTTTCTGTAATAAATCGACTGTAAAGATGATTGCAAACAACATTAAAAATAAAAAAAAGAATCATCAGTTTCTATTTCATGTGTTTGGGGGAAAAAAAACGAAATAATGAAATGTTCTAATAAGTAGTTAATTAATTGCCTATTTGTACTAGAAGCACACGTTTTATGTCCCATGGTTGTGCTACCGCTGCAGTAAGGCATTTATTGAAACTTACCAAGTAGCACGAATTCCTTGATGAAAAAAAGTACAGATAAGTATGCTATGAGCCACTTCATGGTTCTCAGATTTTGCCGTCTTAGAACTCAACACTCTCGTCTCTCGTAAACCATCAAATGAAGACCATGCAAGTAGCAGAGATGTGTTTGTGTCGCAAGCTTTGACTTACTGTGAAATTGTAAAGCAACTGTGGGTTTTTATAGGTATTCGCCTGTAGCGTAGCAGCGTTGATGTTTCGGTTTAATTAATTACAAGATGAAAAAACGAAACAGCTACTGAAATTGAAACCTTACCTTCAAATAAATGATATATTTTTGAAGAAAAATAATGATTAAAACCTAACTTCGATCTAGGATAAATAAAGTGTATTCACTATGATGTCGAAAAAGGTGTGCATCCTATCATTTTTAAATCTTAGTTTCATGTAAAATTCCAATATAAACTTAGTGTTGGTAGATGTAACAAAAATTAATTTAATAATTTCTAGGATGTTTATTTTTTAAATTGTTATTGCCCATCTGAAACGAACATTATTTCCTGGTAGAAATCGGATGCGAAAAATGTAAAATGTACACGTTGCCCTAACAAGATCTAAGATTGGGAAGTGGCAAGCAAATAAAAATACCTGTTTAAGGAAACCATATTGTAACCTTATTTTATAGCTTATGAAATACAAATAATATCTCCGTTTTGGAAAATTTATATAGTTTTTTTCTTTAAGTCCCTGTTACAAATTAAAGCGTCTCTTCTAGTTAAAACATGGAAATTTATTGATTCATATACAATTTTACGTGCAAGCTTTTCAAAATTTATTCTGTAAAAGAGCGGGAAATTATTACCCATTAATATATTAAAGAAATAAGCATCATTTACTAAGCATGGCATGTTTTAAAATGACATTTTAAAGATAGTTACTTGAAATTGAAAAAAACGATAACAATAATTAAGCTTTGGTAAGTTCGATTTTTACCAGAACGTTTACAATGTTTATTTTAATTTTGACTACTGATTACGGTTAATGATTGCAGTTTGACTTGTTTCTTGACTATTAATTTGTAAAAATTTTATATTCTAAATCCGTCTTCCTTAAATACAAATGTTAGTGTTTCTTGGGAATTTTATATGAGCTTTTCGAAATTGATATCGATATTACATGGATTCATTCACCGTGTAAATTCTTGTCATGTTTCTTTTTTAATTTCAATTTTAATGTCAATATACAAGGAAAACAACGCGAGTGGTTGAGGAACAGTTGACAAGTGTCAGATACTGAAATGTTATTATTGAAAAATACGAAAAATTAGAATTTTTTTTCCTTTTGGCGCGAAATTTACATTAGACATTTTTTTATTTTATGTGTAATTTTTTTTCCATCTCCAACACTTAATTTATTGTTTTGTAAATTGTATGCATGCCTTTTCTTTAAAAAAAAGCCTTTAATGTGTCTATGCACCAATTTGCTTTAGAAAACAAAGATACGAGTCGCTTGAAACAATCAAGTGAAATAAGCCTTTGATTAGCCAATATTTGTGTTATCAGTTTTTTTTCTTTTAAACATTTTTCGACATTTATTGTTTATTGTAGTTTCAATCGAGATGGTATCCTAACCGAAACATTGGATGTATATTAAAGCCCTCGATGGGCAAAGTGCAGAAAATCTCCCTCCAACATGACAAAAGAAAAAAAAAACCCTGCAAACCATTTGAAATCCCCGACATATGACGGATTTTCAAATACAGATTAGGATTCAATAATTGATATCGTTAACAACTTCGATTGCAACCTAACGGAAACTTTTGTGTTAGCTTTTTGTTGCACCTTGGAGGAACCATCTAGAGAAATCCTCTCTTTATCTTGACCAAGACTTTGGACCTTATTTGAATACGGATTGTGATAAGGTACTAGGATTTTTGTAATAGTGTGTAAATGGAAAAACTGGCAATAGAAACTGCTAAGTATGAAATTTTATGAGGTAATATGCATTACTGTCATTACAGGTGATTGCAATAAATAAAACATTAACATATTTAAGTTATTAGATTCATGGAAAAAAAAACCGCACTGATTGCTTAACCCTTGTTAGTATTTGAGCGGATTTTGTTACAAGGATTGGTGAACCGTGATATATAATATGATGTTTATAATGATAAAGCCCTTTTTAATTTTTGCCACAGAAACCCACAAGTACCAACCCCCGTTCCCAAAATACCGCAATACAAATATAGATTTAGAGTATATTCAAGAAAAAAAGAAATTTAAATAAGCTTTAATCCTAATACCCTTTAGGTTTCTAGTTTTAGAATTTATTTATTGAAGAGATAAATCTTTTAAAGTAGAGAATACTGAAACATTTATTATTCATATTACATAAAAAACTACTTAAGCATAAAACTTTTAAAAATGAAATGATTATTTGTCTGAGTTTTTATTTTCTCTGTAATTCCTAATATAAGGATGACAAATATTCTAATATGCCAATGTATGTAATTCATAAAAACTATACCATTTAGGATAATAAATTTATCAATAAAAAACGAACTGAAGACAAACAGGTTTTACTTCCTAAGGAGGCTCGAAACGGTTTTCCTTGAACGGGGTCGCAATATAGGGACAATGACGTAGGCACTAAAACGTCATATTATCAAAGGAAAATGTTGTCCTAAAATGTTCACATTCAAACTGAAATACGCTCTATTTTAAATGTATGAATATGATTTATGATTTGTAATTCAAAACAAATTTAGTTGATTTTCAATAATGCTGTGCTGTATTTTTTTACGAAAACTCACCGTTTGGTTATTGAGTTATGATTTAAAAAAACTTTGATGGCATTAAACAGGTTCTGATGTCGTCATAGTAACTTCCGTCATGTTTTCATATTCAATGCGATGTTTTTTTAATCAACTTTGGCTTTTCAGATTTGCATTATTTCCCATTATGGCCATAAAAGGCTTTTCCAGGTAGTTTTTTTGATTGTATGTCAAAGCAGAAACACTTTCGAACCTCCTTAAATCTCTTTTTTACGACGTAATCTTATTTCCGAGGTTGTTGATTTTTAAATTTAAATTTAAATTTATTTCGCCATAAAGATTTTACAAGTCATTTATGCTTCAAAGGATAAGGAAATATAACTTACATGAGATTTAAATGACTAAATTTTAATATAAGTACAGATAGCGTATATAGTGATTAGGCATTAAGTGATATTTTGGTATCATGGTTGATGCATATTGCTCTCTACATGTGATTTATTTGCAATAGTGTAGCCGACCAAATTAATACTAGCAACAAGTATACTGGCTGTCTCTAACATTGTATAAGAAAAGCAATTACGATAGAAAAGGAAAGTCGCTATGTCTTTTTTATAAATATATACAAACTTACAAATAGATGGTTTAGCAATAGGAAGGCAAACAGCTATGTTATGCAGGCCAAAAGTAAGCTGGTATTTTTATAATACTAACTTCGCATTCAGGGACGACATCATGTGGTAAGGATGGATTAGAAAACTTCCAAACAAAGTCAATTTTGTTCAACAAAACGGGTACGATTTGTCGTCGCTACGGTCCACAAAATTGTTGAAAAAGCTCATGAAATAGCATTGCGTTTACTGTAAAATGTCCATAACTCGTTCGTGAGATTAATAATAACTAAAAAAACTGTTGAAACGATAAAAAAAAATAAAGGTTGGCATGACTAGATTACATGGCTTGCTTTGCTTGAATAGATACTGATATAAACTATCTATATTTGAACAGAAACGTCGATTGAACATAGGTGATAAAACAAAAACACTGCAGACTCCGAAAATCATTGGGAATGAATGAGCGAATGAAAAACACAAATCGAGATTTTTTTCTGGCATTTAGCTCACAGGGATCCCAATCGGGCAAATGCAAGATTAGTGTTGCTGCTCGCCTAAGGGCTCGGAGCAATAAATAGCAAGGGAGAAAAGAAAAAGAAGTAGTGGTAGTAATATAATTACACAGGGTGTTCCATATTTTTGTGACATACGCCATGGTAAACTGTTTGATATTAGTACGGCAAGAATGTTGTAATGATTTATTTCACAATTCATAACAAAAAGATATGAAAAAACGGAAAAAAATTATTTAGATTTTAGATAAGGATTTAGTTCTGCCTTTGCAATGAATTTTTTCGTTTATTCTTAATATAATGGCGATATAATTATATTAACTACATATCTGATTATAGATGCACAAAGAATAAAGATAAATATGGAATACAGTAACTGAAGTAAGAAAAAGATAACGTGAGAAATTGACAAAAAATATAAACATAAGCATGTAGATACACACCAATATGAATAAATTGAAATATATCGATTAATTAAAGGGAAAGGTAATATAACGGTAAAAGGTAACATTAGATCCTCTGTTTCAGTATCACAGTTCAAGCAAAGGGTTAAAACCTGGCTTTTTCAACAAGCATTTTTTAGTAGTTTTATTCAGAAATCTATGTTTTTACTTTTCAACAAACTTTGATAATGATTATTATTATGTATAAAAGCGAATTAATGTTGAAAGTTATTTCAATCATTGATTCATAATTTTATGTAAAATAATGTCTATCAAATATATATGTATTTATAAAGTTGCCCTAATTATCGTTTAAAGATTTTAATGTGCACTACTAAACCACACTAAATACCTATATAGTTATATTTTTATATGTTTTATCAGATCTTTTTGTAAAGCGCC